GATAATTTAAAATATCTTTCCAAAAATGAACTTATAAAAATTGATTTTATGACCTACAGATAAAGGTTAAAAAATTGATTTAAAAAAAATGAAATTACTCCTTTTTTTTTGCCATTCATTTTGTAGTAGTTGTATTGGAAAAAGTCTCCAAATGTTCATTATTAAATTCTCATAATTTTAAAACTCTCTCTTTCTTACGTTGCAATCCTCTTTGATTGTCTTTTATATTTTATATTTTCTATTTGTTTGATTAATTAAAATGAAAATTAATTTCATGGTTTATGGATAAATATTTGAATTTCAAAATTCCTTCATATAGAGAAACATATAAAAACTGATAAATAATTTATGAAAATTAATTTCATGGTCTACAGATAAAGATAAAAATTAAATACCTAATTTAAAAAAATTAATTTCACAACTTATAGATAATTTAAAATTTCTTCACGTAAATGAACTTATAAAAATTGATAAATAATTTATAAAAATTAATTTCATGACCTACAGATAAAGGTTAAAAAATTGATTTAAAAAAATGAAAGATAAACATATAAAATTTCATAAATAATTTATGAAAAATTATTTCATGACCTAGAGATAAAGAAAAAAATTAAAACAATTATTTTAAAAAATTAATTACATGACTTATAGATAAATAAACAAATAAAGATTGATAAATAATTCATAAAAATTAATTTCGCGGTCTATAGATAAAGATAAAGATTAAATAATTGATTTACAAAAAATTAAAATAATAAAATTTAAATAAATAAATGGTTTGTTAATCTGAATCTATCAAAAGCATATCTATCTAAATCTTTGTTTTGATTTACTTATATTTTTTCTCCTTCAATCACATATTATCCTTTTTTATTTTGAATCTATACTAAATGCAGCGGAGTATGAGAATTTTCCAAAGTCTTAATACTAAATTCTTATGGATTCTCTCTCCTATGTGTCACTTCTCAAGTCTCCCCTCCCACTTTTCCTAATTTTTAATCATTTGTCAATTATCTAAATCGCAAAAGCCAAAAGGATTATATATATTTAAATAAAATGATAAATATTTAGATATGAACAACAAAGAGGTAGATATAAATATATAAAAAATAAAATAAAATAAAAAGATAACTATTCAAATTTCAACCACACAATAATATAAAAGAGTCAAATAAAAGATAAAAAAATAACTAAATAAAAAATATTACGAGTCAATTAATTTTAAAAATAAAAATTTAACTATTTATATATGAATAATTAAAAAATATTTAAATAAAAAATATTACAAGTCAAATAATTTTTAAAATAAAAAGGTAATTATTTATATATGAATAACAAAAAAAATAGAGATGAAGAAATATACAAAAATAAAAATATAACTATTTAGATTTGAACTGCAAAATGAAAATTCAAATAAAAAATAACAAAATATTTAAATAAAAATATTAAGATTGGGATATAAATATCCCAAAAAAGAAGATAATTTTTTTAACGATCTATATTTATCTTTTGTTAGATTGTTATAGAATTTTCATATATTTCAACTTAATCTTTTTAAAGTTTATCTTCAAGTTGAGCTTAATATTTATCTTTTAAAACCATCAATTAATTATTCATACAAATTTTAAATATGATAGAATTCCATATATATATATATATATATTTTGTTTAATCATAATTTTTTCAATATAAAAACAAGTTTCTGCAAAAGAAACCATGAACAGAAGATTGGGAGGAAAACAATCAATATTGAGTCATTTCTGATTCCTTTCGGTGCCTAAAAATCCTAAATATTTGCTTTACATTTGAATTGTGTACTTGCATGAGTTTTTGCATTTGTGAGAAAGTGAGTTTATGTAAATGGATATTATTATTTTATTTTTAAATTTTTTTCTTACAATCTGTATTTTTCGTTATTTCTTTCTTTTTGTTAATAATGTGTCATTTAATTGAGATTTTTTTTTATATATTTATAAAAGTGCTACTACTATCAATTTGTAACTCTCTCACTTATTGATTATTTGTATTTAATTTTTTTTGGTGCAGATGTTATATTGAAAATGAAGAACACATCAAAATTTATTGGATATGGGTTTATACTTTAAATGTATTCATCAGTTGATTTTTTATTATTGATTATCCTGTTAAAATAACTTATGATTAAATTTATTTTGGAAACTCATTTCCTTTGAGAACTAAACCACAAATTTTTTCATTTATTTTTTATTTTTTATTTTTATTTAGATTCATAGTTTGAGCAAATGGAAAATATCTCATATTTAAAATGTTAATTTTTTTTGAATAATTTAAATATTTATATTCTTTATGTTTGTCAATTCAAGTTTAATGCATTTCCAAACTTCCTTTTTTTTTAATCATTCTAAACCATTTGTGTTTAATGAATCAATATAACCAAAAAAACAAATAGCATGTAAAAAAATTTTAACCACTAACTGAATATAATGGGAATTAAAATTAATTTTATTTTAATTTATTATATTATATGAAATGGTTAATGTAATATCTACTATCGATTAAACAAAATTAGTGTTACTTTTATTTAATATATTAGTTATTGTGATTAATTATAATATGCCTTTGTTACTCTATTTTTGGTTGTCTGAAATAATTCTTAGATAAATTAGCTATTATATATGTTATGATTTACTTAGTGTATGATAGTTTTTAAATTTTTTTAATAATGTGAAATATTTAATATTTTTAATGATGTGATATAAGATTTATATACACACACTAAATAAAAATATTAAGAAATACAATCAAATAATAAATTTTTTTTAATGATTATTGACTTTCTAAAATTTCGTGCATCGTACGGCTGACTACTAGTTAATTAGAAGCCTAATGTGCGCCATTACAGACACCACCAAATAATTGGTCTTTCCGCCTCCATATTAAGGCCAAGTTTGGGATGTTTAGAAAAAATCAAAAATTCAAAAAGTCACTATCTTATTTAAGTCACATCATCTTATTTAAGTCACATCACTTCTCTAACACATCACTTCAAACCCAACCCAAACCCAACCCATATTTCATAAAAAGTCAAAAAGTGCACTTATTTAGTCTTCCCAAACTTGGCCTAATTAATTATTTCATTTTTTATTGTCTCAAAACAGTGATTCATTTTTAAAAAATCAAAGAATAAAATAAGATAAATTTCTTATTTTGTGTTGTTTTGATAAGTAGATTAAAAGTTAATTTTTTGATTTTTTTAGTATTTTTTTTAAATGTGTAAAAAAATAAAGAGATGATATAATTTAAAAAAACCAAAAAATTGGTTTTTAATCGAAATGCCAAAATAAGCCTTTGTCATTCTTTTAAATTCATTAACATTAATATTTTTGAAATGTAATAATTGTATTACCAAAAGATAGTATTGAAAAGTTAATATTTTTAAAATGCAATAATTGTACTACTAAAAAAATTAAATTCTTCAAAAATGTGTTTGGTTTGAGTTTTTTGAATTAAGCTTTTTGAAAATTGATTTTTTTTATTTTCATGTTTTTTTATTTTTAGTGAATATTTTTAAAAATTTTAACTTTTTTTTTTACTTTTTTAGATGCATCTTACTTAGACGTATCTAAAAAGTAAAAAATTCGAGAAAAAATATTTTTAAAAATTAATAAATACAAAAAAATGTACTAAATTCTCGTATTTTTTTTTTATATTTTTGGTATTTAGTGAATTTTTAAAAGGTTTTTTTCAAATTTTTTTTACTTTTTAGGTATATGTATGTTAGGTATGCTTAAAAATTAAAAAAATTACTCAAAATATTAAAAAAATTCAGTAAAAATAAAAAAAATATGAAGAATAAAAAAGTAAAATTTTCTGGAAAGTGTTTTTGAAAAATGATAACCAAGCATTAAGATAGAGGGAGTACTTTGATTTCTCTTTTAATGTAATTAAAATATAAATGAAATATAATTATATTATATCTATATTTAGTTAACAATTTCTTTCTTTCTTTTTAAATCACTATCTAAATTTATTTGCAGTACTACATATATAGAATTTCTGTACACAAAATGCATAAAAATTGTCACATAAAAATAGGATAAATTATAAATACACTCATGAAATTTCATTAAAATATAAATCGCATTCTGTAGTTTTGAAAATTACATTCTATCTCCTAAGATTTCTAATTTCATAACAAATCGTCATTTTTATTAATAAATCACCAACTCAATTAACAATTTTTAATAATGTTATAAATATATTTCAATTAATAATTTAGGTAATTTTATTATTGTATAGATAAATAATTATGAATTTATTTTTTAATTAATTATATTAAATAAATTTTTTTAACAAAGAAATATTTATAATTTTTTAAATTATATATTTTAAACAAATCTCAAGAAATATATTTATAATTTAATTAAAAAATAAACCCATACATGTGAGACTTATCCTTTGTGAGAACTTCGGTACATTCCGTGTACGGAAATTATGTGTAAAAAATATTTATCCATATTTGTTATTCAATTGCAACCAATACCTGTATGCAAAACAAATGAATTAAATATGATAAATTTTTTTATAAAATTAATTTAAAAATAATTACAAAATATATAATAAAATATTATAAACACAGTAAACTAATTCAAAAATTAAAAATCTTTATGAAAACTTTTCATATAGGATTAGGGTTTGGTTATGGTGTGCAACTTACACCTTATACCTTATACCTTACACTTACACCTTACACTTACACCTTTTGTAAAAAATTAAACCTTACACTTACACCTTTTTTGAGGTTGCACACCATGTGCAACCCACTTACACCTTACACCTTACACTTACACCTTATACTTATACTTACACCTTACACTTACACTTTTTGTGTAAGTGGCACATGGTGTGCACTTGCACACTTAAGAAAACTCCATAGGATTATGATTCTCGTATAGATATGTATGACTTCGACCACCCAAGCTCCCCCTTTTTCAACACACTCCGCCCTACCACTGGCCACCACTATAATGCCACCCCCACATCCATTATATATACCTATCTCCCTCCGACCTTTTCTCTCTCTCTCTCTCTACATATACGTACTTATCTACAAATGGGTCTCCAAGATCCCCACCCCTTCAATTTCATAGAGCCAAACAACAAAACCCTCCAAATCGACAGCAGAACTTTCCTCCTCGGCTCAATCTCCTTGTTACTACTTCTCATCTCCACCTTCTCTTTCACCTACTTCCTCTACTACTTCATTCGTCACCGCCAATCCGCCGCAGCCAACCACCCTCCTCCGCCCCCTCCGCCGCCGCCGGGGCTCGACAAGGCCTCCATCAATTGCTTGCCGATCATCTCGTTCGGATCGAGCGGCCTGAGCTCCGGCGACAGTTGGCGAGTGGGTGAGTGCTCTATATGCCTCGGTGCGTTCAAGGATGGAGAGAAGGTGAAGGTATTGCCTCTGTGTTATCATGGGTTTCATTCCGAGTGTGTTGATAAGTGGTTGCGGACTCGGTCGAGTTGTCCTCTTTGTAGAGCTGCTGTTGTCCGAGTTGACTCGTTGGCTCAGTCTGACATTCCGTGAAGCCATGAAAGTTTGGAACTCTGGTGTATATATGTAGTGCAACGTGTAAACACAATTTAATTTTTGAGTAACCCAAAATGAAATTCTAGTATTTTGGTGCTGCTAATCAAATGGATAATGACTAATTTAATGATTGTTCTCACTGATTGGTGGATATATATATTTCTGATTTAACTGTTTAAGTTCGATTTTTGGGGACAGGTAGTGAGAAACGTGAATACTGTGGATGATCTCGCTTTGATCGGACTGAGATTCCACGTGGATGGTCTCCCTTTAATTGGATTGAGAAGGGATTAATCGAGTTGGTTGGTTCGAATATTTCTGAATCAAAAATAAATAAAATTGGACAATGACTAACCACAAAAAATATATCTATATAATAAAATAATATTTGCTTGGTTAGGTTTTTAAAAAAATATTTTTCAGAAAATTTTATTTTTTATTTTTTCTATTTTTTGATTTTTACTGATTTTTTTAAATATTTTAATTAATTTTTTTTTATAACTATTTTAGACATAGCTAACCAAGGTTGTTAAAATCGGGATCGTTGGAGGTGTTTATAGGATCGGATCGTAGAATCGGATCGAGGATCGTAAGATCCTACCGAAAATGACAGATTACATAATAATTTAATTTAAATAAATATTTCTTATAAAGTATACACGAAATGAGCCTATATTCTATTAAAAAAAAGTGAAGATATTATGAAAAATATAATACACTATGTAAAATGTACATATAATATTATACAATAGAAAACTCGATGGCAAAAGCATTGTATTTCATAAAAAAGAAGGTGAAAAAGAAGAAGAATTCTATAACAAAATATTTTACAATCTACAATAATGCATAAAAAGTGAAGAAAAAATATTTAACAAAGTTGGATATAAAAATATATTAAAAACTCAAAAGAATAACTTAACTGAATGATAAGGTTTGTCGTTAGCATCCCTGGTGGAGCGGATTCAAGTCACAAAAATAATCTCTCCAAAAATTGGGATAAAATTGCAATCATCTTACCCTCCTTAGACTCTGCTAAAGTTAAGTTTATTTTTTCGACTATTTAATTTTTTTAAATTACCGCAATATTTGAATGTTTGTTTTCTAGTTTGTTTTTCTTAGTCTATTTGATTCAATACTACTTAATTTTTATTATTTATTTTGACCACATAAATTGGTATTTAGACAACAAACATAAAATTTACAATAAAATATGTCATACAATACAAAATAAGGCTTGTAAATTGGATCGGATAGGATCGGATTCGGATCGGGATTCTACGATCCTATAAGATCCCACTACCAGGATCGAAAGATCCTACCTATAAGGAGTTTTTTACACGATCCGGATCGATTGTACTTAAATAGGTCGTAAGATCGTAGGATCGTAAGATCCGGATCGGGATTCTAATAACAATGTAGCTAACGTAAATATATCTAAAAAGAAAAAAATTGTGAATTTTTTTTAAAAATTCATTAAATACCAAAAATATAAAAAAATACGAGAATTCAATATATTTTTATGTATTTTTAAAATATTTTTTTCACAAATTTTTTACTTTTTAGATACATCTAAGTAAGGTGTATTTAAAAAAGTAAAAAAAAATTTAAAATTTTAAAAATATTCACTAAAAATTAAAAAAATACAAAAATCAAAAAATTCAATTTTTAAAAAATTTAATAAAAAAAACTCAAACCAAACATACTGATTATTTTTGAAAATGTGTCGAAATATTTAAGAGATATATTTTGTATTAATGGTTGAGATTAATTTTTAAATTCATTTTAAGGTCAAGATGAAAAATAATTGGAAGTTTTAATTGAACATCCCTAATATACTCTTAATGATATGGAATGAATCTCACTTCTCATTTCTCATCTATTTACTCTCTATCTCTATCTATTATCTCTCTCTTCTATTTCATCGATGTTATGTTTGATTGGGGGATTTGAGGAGAGATTTGAAAAAGAGAAATAGAAAAGTAGGTGAAATGTGAATAAAATATGCCTACATTTTATTTAGTTTCACACACTTTTTTCATTTTTCTTTCTAAATTCCCAATCAAACACAATATAAAAGTCAAAATAAGAATGATATATTAAGAGATGTATCATCGATCAATCAAGATTTCTTTAATTCTCATTCATTCGCCTCTTTTTTTTTTTTCTCATTTTCATTCCCACCTTCACATGATCCCATGAATAATCTCATGATCCCATCTTCCTTCCTCCTTCTTTTTTATTTTATTTTTTAATTCTCTCTCCTTTTTTATTTTTCTCCCTATCCCCCCACTTATCTTATTCATACTGTGCTTTCACGCATGAGCATACACTAATATATATATATATATATACACAAGCAAGAAAAAAAAGTTGATCATATAAAAGTTAGGGGAGTGATATTTTAAACTTTTATTTTTTAATTATCAATTTTAACTTACAATAAATTGTACTAAATAAGGTCATAACCATGTTTGTTTAAGTCTTTTTTAATTCTGTTTTCTAATTATTAACTTTTAACTTATAAGAGCAATTCCAATAGTAAGAGACAAAATGCCCTACAAAAGTACAAAGAAAAGTACTACCTTTATTACCTAACTAGTTTAGCTAATGTGTATTCTAATTATACTCTTTATTTTAACTAATCAGTCAAAACTAAATTAACTAATTTTTTTTTAAAAAGTATTATAAACATAGAAAAATGAATAAATAATTTTTTAATGACATGCTATATATGTTGATGTGTTAAACTATCATATTTTCAAATGGTAATATACAAACACAAAACCAAATCAATTAGATGCAATATATAAATACAAAACCAACTAAAAGAAGAGTATTTAATCAGATGGAGGGAGCAATTTTAGCGGAATGAAAGCTAGCTAGTTGTGGAGAGGCAGAATCAAAATAAACATTTTATCTCTTCTGATGCAAAACCCTTTAGAAAAGGAGTTGCACCAGCAAAAATGCCTTTGAATGCTCTTTTATCTACTCCCTTGAAGATGCTCTATTAAACTGCATAATCATGTTTGTTTGGAAAGCCATCGCCCAAACAAATTGGCCTAACATAAAATAATCTTGTGATTAGATAAATAGTTTCATTACATACATAATTTTATATTTAATTAAGAAAATTAGAGTATGGATTAATGATTTATCGAGATTGACATGGATAGGCCCATAAGGCTTACAGTCCACAGCAAACAACCCCAAACCCATCGCTCGGGACCCATAGCATAACTCGGCTGGCAAAGCCCAGGACAGCTGGAGGCCATCTGGGCATGGAGGACCAATGACATTCGGGCACATGGCAGGTGAAACACAGGTCACATCAGCAGACAAAGATCTGCAGAGTTATTGCCACAACACATCACCATTAATGCAGCCCATCACAACATTTATTACGACAACACCTCCCCGTCGGAACAGAGCCCCCTCACCCTGAACAAGGTGAGCTACGGCACAGGCTTTCGGCGGAGGGGGGCACGTCGCAAGGGACAGTGAAATGATTACCAAAGGATATGAGCAAGAATCAAAGACAAGAGGAAAGTTAAGCTTTTCTATCTCTCTCTCTCTCTATATTTCCTTCTTCATCTACTGATTTGCTCGCCGGAGGGTTCACTGGGGGACTACCCCGTTCTCCTTTGGACTTGTTTGCAGGTCATCTGGTGGAATCATCCACCTGGATAGGAACTTGAAGAGCTTGGACTAGCCTGACCCATCCACCCAGGACGAACTACATCATCAGTTGGCGCCGTCTGTGAGAACTTGTGGTTTATTCGTGCGCTAGTTGTGTTCACTATTGCCGGAGCCCCCCTTTCTCCCCGTTACCTTTTCCTCTCACCCATCCAGGTGTATGGTCACGACTAGATCCATGGCTTCTCACCATAATACCGCCGATCATTAAACAGACCCTCCCCATCCAAACAGCCCACCACAGTACATCATCGAACTTACTAACAGCATTAACCGCATGGCCGAGCAAAACCAGGCCCTGATCAGTGCTTTACTCCAAAGAAACCTCCCCGCTCCACCTCCAGATATTCCACCCAACCAAGAAAGAACCCCGGTCCACACTGCTCCACATCCCCCTCCGCTCAACCCAGAAGGTTTACAACCTCCTCCTCCTCCTCCACATATGAGCCTACCACCTCCACCCCCACGCCCGTCAGTCGTGGCACTAGCCCCTGAGGGGGAAGCCAGCAGCGTCCAGCCTCCATTGACCGACCATGGCGACAACATTCCCCTCTGGGATGCTGAACTCCGAGCTATGAAGCTCCAACTACAAGGGTTCATGCAGAACATTCAGCACAAGCCCTCAGTCACCGCCAACTCACCTTTTGTTGCCTCTATCCGGGACAAACCATTGCCCGCCAAGTTCAAAATGCCCACCATTGACTCTTTCGATGGCACGACGGACCCAGTCGACCATCTGGAAACCTACCGTACCCTTATGATCCTCCATGCTTTCCCTGACGAGATCATGTGCCGAGCTTTCCCCGTGACACTAAAGGGATCAGCTCGGTTGTGGTTTAGCCAGTTATTGGTGGACTCCGTCTCCACCTTTCAACACCTCAGTGACTCTTTCCTGAGCCATTTTATCGGAGCCCAGCATTAGAGACGCCCAGCAACCCAACTCCTTAACATTCGTCAGACCGAGGGGGAGTCGCTCCGCAGCTTTGTCACCCGCTTCAACACCGAAGCCCTTCAAGTAGCGGAGAACGACGACAAGGTCATCCTCACGGCTTTCATGGCTGGCCTACAGTTGTCCGATTTTCTTTTCTCCCTCTCCAAAAACCCTCCAACCACCATGGCAGCCCTACTATCCAAAGCCCAGAAGTACATGAATGCTGAAGATTCCCTGGCCGCTCGGCAGGAGCCAATCACTAAAAATCCGACCCCTAGAGACAAGAGGAAAGACTCAGAACCCAGGACCGCCCAGTATAACAGCCAAACACCCCACTATAATGACCGACCCTACCGAGCCAACCGGTCGGCTCCGACGCGACCGCCCGGTCAGTTCGAGCGGTACATACCACTCAACTCTCCCATGAAACACGTCCTCAATCAGATCCAGCGGGACTACTCCCTCAAGTGGCCCCTGCCTTCACGAAACCCTTCCAATCGGAAAGATCAGTCC